TGTCTTTGGGTCATTTTAAACTGTTTTATACAGAAGTAATTCAAAAGTATGGAAATAAAAATGTAGCTGGAGCATGTGTAAAAGTGGTAGACTACACAGAGAGGACTCAGACAGGCTTTTGTCCTATTCTATATCGTAATGTTGAGATGTGTGCTGTGGATTAAATTGTGTTAGCCTTTATTTACAAACGAACACATGTAAAATCAGTAGCTAAGGATTTGTACAGGCCTCATGTCAGCTGTTGCAACATTTGATATAATGTTAAAAGAATACATTGGCGCTCATCATCGAACACAGCAGAAAATCATCATCATCATGGATCTCTTGCTATAATAAAATGCAATACTCGCACCTTGTGTGCTATTTCCTATGGAAGCTCGTTTTCTCCACTAAATAAAGAAATAATTAATAAATAAATAAATAGCAGGGACACGGGAAGTAGGGGTACTGAGGGGGCTGCAGCACCCCCTGTTTTCACATGGTTGCAAATGCAACGCCAAGTTTGTTCATTTTAATTTATTCAGTATTAGCATTTAATACTTTATTTGTAATGATCTCTGAAATGTAAATTGTAAGTGGCCTATAATAAACCCATGTTTATCTTTATAAACATGATTAATTTTACTTGTGATGTTTTCTATATGGGATGATTAGCCTAATCCTCATGAACACGTGACGCTAGCGCGTGGGATCAGACATGAACTGTACAGAATGCGAACAAGATTAACTTTAATACAAGGAGATAATGGCGCAAAAGTGAATTTCAGATTTTTTAAAATGCCCATCCCACCAAAAATTTCCTAAATCGGCAGCCCCAGCACAAGCACAGACGTAAGTGAAAACATCTTCCCGCGCCCCTGATAAATAGCGACTTTTTATTCCACAATTCTGACTTTTTTTCCTCAGAATTGCAAGATACAGCAACTCGCATTGTTTATATCTCGCAATTCTGAGAAAAAAAGTCAGAATTGTAAGATAAAAAGCTGCAAATTACTTTTATTTTTTATTCCATGGCGGAAACAAGCTGCCATAACGACACAAGTAAACCTGAATCCATACACAACGTAATGTAACCTACTAATAAATGTCATCAATGCCAGTTCAACTTTTATTCAATTGTAATCTTTTTTAAATCAGCCATCACCTTTTTTGACTGCATCTGATTATGAAGCATTGTTCTTGTCCGTCATGCATTTATATCTACTATTTTTCATGTTTTTGTTGTATAATTCCATTGTTCTTCATTATGTCTAAATGTATAATAAATAAATTCTGACGAGCAGTTTGCGGTTTTCTGCCTTTATTGAACATCACACTGCATTTGGTCCATTTTGCAACATGATTCAATTAAAATCACAGCGCTATACATACATGCACGCTGGAGACCTTTTACCACATAAGGCTGCATCCAGATATTATTTAAAAATCCCTGAAGCACTTCATCCAGTAGCTTTTCTCTCCGTGACAAGAAAAGCAGACCACTGTTGTTAGCAGTTAGCACTAAACATTAGTCTGGGAGGAGCTGAGTAAATTTAGTCTCACGTCACACAACATATCGCAAGCCGTTTTAGCATTTTATCCATAAATAGTCATAATCACATTGTAGATATCTTAATTCCAATTACGAAAGTACAGTCGTTTGCTAAGTTAAATGAATTAGCATTTTAAACAAATCGGTTGATTTAAGGATTCAACTCACTCATTAAGACAGTCACTTGCTGCCACCTACTGGCTGTTGTAGTTTCATATTTAAAAAAGTAGCTCATTATTTCATTTTTGCAATCATTTAATATTTCTACATTAAAATGTTGTATTTAAACTTTACATAACTTGTGCAAAATCCATCTATGGATTTTGTTTATAGTGATTTCAGTTGATTATTAATAGCCAACATGTTTTTTTATTCAGATTGAATTTATTAAATTAAAAAATCTGACATAAAAAGACACAGATATGACAATACATTTTCATAATACATCTCTTTGGTTTTTTTCTGCTCAGTGTTATTTCAGGGTTTTGATCTCTCAACTGGTATCATCTTAATTTTTGTGTATTTTGTGTTACTCCATAATAATGTTCTAGTTGAGGGCATTTGTAGTATACTGTAGGTATGGGGCCCAAACATAACCTCAAGCCCAGGGGCCCCCGGCCCCGAAGTCCTGCCCTGGTTACAGGGCAAGTGGCACTCACTGCAAATGATTTCCAGCTCCACCTCTCTGGATGTCTAATGTAGAGGTCTACACGGAGGACAACAGCACAGGGGGCTGAATCATAAAACTAGTTTACCAAATAAGCCAGGCTTATTTCAGGTAGTCTGACTTATTTTCACTTGATTTGGTTTCATAAAGCAAAATTACCATAGCTCAAGCTCAGTCACTCTGGCAACTTATGCTGGGAAACTAACCTGTTCCGGAGCAGGCTAACTGTCAGACTAAGCTGAGCTCCTCTAACACTGACCAATAGGAACGCATTGATATAAACTGTTAAAAGTTGCTATTATTGTTAACAATAGTTATTTATGCAATATGTGATATTTAAATTATATTTTCCAATCCCATTATTTGAAGAAAAGTATTTCTCTAAGTCCCAATTTATTAAATTTGCTAGATTGAAATTTTAACCATTTTCTTTGACAACTCCTCTCTTTCCCTGGTAATTACTGCAAAATATAGTAGTAGAACATGCTCACTAGTCTGCTTTACCACTGGATATTCATAATCATGGTTGATGACGTGTCCATGTCTCCCTGATAAGTGCAAACTTGCTCTGGCAGCCGATTTCATTAGCCAACTCAATTGCACAGTCATCAAAAGTTCAGACTTAAAGCAAGGGAAAAGTCTCTCATCATTAATTCACCCTCAAATTGTTTCAAACCCACATTTTTTCTTCTGCTGAACTCAAAAGAAGGAACCCACACATGTTAGTTTCATTCATCCTCAGTGACTTTAGACTGATAGTTTAGATTTAACGCTAGTGTTCACTTTGACAGTAACATCCTTTTTGTTTTGTCATAATTTTTCATCAGAAAGACACCATCTCCTCTATTTTTACACCGCGCTCACCAAACCTGATGGACTCTCTGGACCTGTATTTAGTGCAGTAGGTGTGTATGATGACAGATGGATCTCTCGCTACAGCAATGAAGAACAAACCTGGAAAAGAGACTGTTTGGATGCAGAAATCTGGAGAGATACCAAAGAACCTCGTGACCCTAGAGACTGGTTTCTACATCAGGTTAACGCTCTGGCAAACTGCACAAACTCCACATGTGATGGTGAATGCATTGGGTTTTATTGGAATGACACTGATATCTTTTTAAGTGTCCAGTTATTTTATGGGCCACCAGGGCCGTGCAGAGACCTTTGGAGTGGCAGGTGCTCGAAGTATAAAAGGGGCACATGGAGCACGGCTTTTAATAGGGCTGTGCTCCTTGCTGAGACATGTATCGAAACGGATGCTTCTGTATTGATAGCAGAAAATGCCATGATACAGTTTTCAAAAAGAAACCATTTTAAGTTTAAAAGTTAAAGAAATTTTTCTTTGCACCTCTTAATCACTCTGGAATTAGAAACGGAATTATAGCCTATTATACCTATTATTATTATTATTATTATTATTATTGAGTTTACAGGGTATGGTGGTTTTGCTGTTGTAAACACTACTGTTGTTGTTGTTGTAGAAAAAATATTTCCGTCTTATTTAAAATAGAATTATATTCTTATCCTGTTCTGAATTAATACATTTTTTGAATGATAATGATAATAAAAACAGGATTGATAAGTATAAATTGGAAGATGAGAAAATCAGTATAAGCTTGTTTTATCAGAGTTGTGATAATTATTTTAAAGGGGTCATATGATGCTGCTAAAAATAACATTATTTTGTGTATTTGGTGTAATGTGTTTATGCGGTTTAAAGTTAAAAAACACATTATTTTCCACATACTGTACATTATTGTTTCTCCTCTATGCCCCGCCTTTTTGAAACGATTTTTACAAAGCTCATCGGTCTGAAAAGCGAGGTGTGCTCTGATTGGCCAGCTATCCAGTGCGTTGTGATTGGCTGAATACCTCAAGCGTGTGACGGAAATGTTATGCCCCTCACCATACTGTGATAATGCCGTGTCCGGCCGGAGCGATGAGACAAAAACATTAAAACCCATTATAAACGAGGCATTTGTTGCATCCAGTGGGGACATAATTACTGATTATAATGACTTATACTGTCGTTTTACGCGTTGCGTTGCATCGTGCCGCGTAAACATAAAACCATGTCTGCATTTGTGATCGGAGAAATGACAAACAACAAGCCCTACTCTACACTGCTCAAAACTCGCGTTTGAATCATCAGTGGCAAATTTAAAATGTACATTTAAATGAAAATGTACTTACGTGAGTCAGAACTGCCGGCATTTTAGTCTAACGTTACTCTCCCAGGATCAGTAAACAGTCCTCCATAAAATGGCCGTGCAGAGACCTTTGGAGTGGCAGGTGCTCGAAGTATAAAAGGGGCACATGGAGCACGGCTTTTAATAGGGCTGTGCTCCTTGCTGAGACATGTATCGAAACGGATGCTTCTGTATTGATAGCAGAAAATGCCATGATACAGTTTTCAAAAAGAAACCATTTTAAGTTTAAAAGTTAAAGAAATTTTTCTTTGCACCTCTTAATCACTCTGGAATTAGAAACGGAATTATAGCCTATTATACCTATTATTATTATTATTATTATTATTATTGAGTTTACAGGGTATGGTGGTTTTGCTGTTGTAAACACTACTGTTGTTGTTGTTGTAGAAAAAATATTTCCGTCTTATTTAAAATAGAATTATATTCTTATCCTGTTCTGAATTAATACATTTTTTGAATGATAATGATAATAAAAACAGGATTGATAAGTATAAATTGGAAGATGAGAAAATCAGTATAAGCTTGTTTTATCAGAGTTGTGATAATTATTTTAAAGGGGTCATATGATGCTGCTAAAAATAACATTATTTTGTGTATTTGGTGTAATGTGTTTATGCGGTTTAAAGTTAAAAAACACATTATTTTCCACATACTGTACATTATTGTTTCTCCTCTATGCCCCGCCTTTTTGAAACGATTTTTACAAAGCTCATCGGTCTGAAAAGCGAGGTGTGCTCTGATTGGCCAGCTATCCAGTGCGTTGTGATTGGCTGAATACCTCAAGCGTGTGACGGAAATGTTACGCCCCTCACCATACTGTGATACCTTGTCCCGGCCGGAGCGATGAGACAAAAACATTAAAACCCATTATAAACGAGGCATTTGTTGCATCCAGTGGGGACATAATTACTGATTATAATCACTTATACTGTCGTTTTACGCGTTGCGTTGCATCGTGCCGCGTAAACATAAAACCATGTCTGCATTTGTGATCGGAGAAATGACAAACAACAAGCCCTACTCTACACTGCTCAAAACTCGCGTTTGAATCATCAGTGGCAAATTTAAAATGTACATTTAAATGAAAATGTACTTACGTGAGTCAGAACTGCCGGCATTTTAGTCTAACATTACTCTCCCAGGATCAGTAAACAGTCCTCCATAAAATGTGCCGGTGATCCACAGCACTAAATTGATGCATTTCCTCAGCGACCAGCACGGATCAGCTCTAGGCATGATGAAGCAGATATCGTCATCTTTTGGAAGACCAAACAAAGTAGTTTCGCTTTCACAATGAAACACACAGCGTCTCCATGACATGGCGGCGGCAACAATACTACAGCGAGAATAAAAGTTACGCCTTCTTTCTTTGCGTGAACATTTGGGCGGCGTTATGCAAATCTTCCCACATAGTGATGTAGATATGTGGGGGCGTGTTAGAACGAGGCGTTTTAGGTAGGTGTGGCTGACTCTTAACTTTTATAAAGAATATCTCTTTGGATTTGAGACTTTAGTCTTTGCAACTTTACAGATCTTCTTTATGCACCAAGAGCTTGTAACACTCCAAAGAGAAAGGAAAAAATGAAATTGCATCATATGACCCCTTTAAGACACTCTCACTCTCACATGTTTTCATGTATTGGTTTCTAGATTTAAATTCAAAGAGACAGTATCGATAGTCTATGCATGACCTGCCGTTTAATTCGTATCCAAAATGAGGAGAAGTGAATATCTGGAGCGCTCAACACTCTCATGCAGTGTATGTTTCATTCATACTCGATGCCGGAGGGCGTTCTCCTACAGAAAGTCCAAAACAGACTCATAGAAGGAATGACTTATGACCTACAGGAAATCAAAAGCATCCGGCTATGGCTGTAGCTGAGCTGAATAAAAAGCAGAAAAAACGTAAAGACAAACACACGATTGCGAATATATATACGGTTTATGTGTAATAAATAAACTATATGAATAATGCAGTACTGATTGACATATCATTTAGTAGCCTATAGAAACTATAAAATATATTTCCTGTCTTATTCTGTGATAAAGATGGGGAAAAGGTGCTCATAGTAGTCTTTATAAACCGATCATTAAATTGTCATTAGGAAAATATTGAACCAAAATATTATAGCCCATTGTTGCAGCTAACCTTACTTCCACAGGCTACAAACAGCGATATAAACAACAACTGTGCATGCTCTCTTCACGCCGTTCTTGTATAATAATAATAATATTTTAATAATATAAGTATACAAGCACACCGCTCCGCTGAGAACTCCACTTACCGGCAGCCACGGACGTTATGAAGGCATCTTGGTAGTGCGCTACATTAAACTAAAGGTGTCTGAACGTGAGGGATAGTCCCTGATGAGATCGTCAGGTGAAAGGTCGTCATCATCATGTGGATAATTTTATTTACAGCTAAATTATTAATTAATTTTACTAATATATTTAGATTGGGCAGGCCTTCACATAATGGCGTTTAAAATATAAAATAAAATAACATGCTCAAGCACCCACCGCACCCCCCTCTGCACATGCCTGTGGGCCACTTTATATATTCTTTTAACTTGTAAAAATTTCTTATGTTGTTTTTTGATTATTATTATTTAAATGTTTAGGCCTCCATACACTACAGAGGAGAGTTGGCTGTGAGGTGGAGAAACGTCCAGATGGATCAGTGATGCATGTGAATGCATTTGATGAGTACGGATATGATGGAGAGCAGTTTATTGCCTTTCATTCTGCCACAATGCAGTGGATTGAGAAAACTCCAAAGGCAAAAGAAACCAGAATGAAGTGGAACAATCAACGAGTTCGCAGACAAGTCCTGAAGATGGTCCTCACCCCTTTAAATCATAGTATTTGTTTGTTGCATGAATTTATAAAATGGTTAAAACATTTATGTTTGGTTTGATTTTTTTTATTATAATTTTTTTTCCTGCAGATGGAAGTCTGGAATCTAGACACCATTATTTGCTGGAAGGATTAATTGCAGTTGCTGTTGTATTTGCAGTTGCAGTCTTATTAATCATGCTTTTAATCTACAACGGGATAAATGGTGAGTTCATATTAATTAAAGGAATAAAGTGTCATATTTCCAGATGTGTTGCTCTAGATTTGATGTAAATCAAAATCTGGTTCTCATTTGTCTTTAACCTGAGATGAATTATTCAATTCGATATTTATTTAGCATTTAAATATAGAGACCCTGCTGTAAGATTATAACTTTTATATGCTCAAGAATGTAAAACGTATACTGAATATTTATGAAATCAGCATGAGCTTGTCTTAATGCTAAAGTTTTCTAATAATATATTGTGTCATCTCTAGGCCAGATGAAAAGTTTGGTTTAACTTGAAGGCATTGCGGCAGAAATATATTACTATTGTTCAGTAGAATGTACGTAATAGGCTGCTACTACTACTACTAAAATGATTAAAACCTTATTTTTAAGGAATAATCATACAATATGTCTTCAATGTTTTACTTGTAATATTAAATGACCTTTATTTTCCAAAAAATAAAAATTGCTTAATTTTCATTACTTTGAGCAAAAAATCATAAGGCTATTGTAAGAATAAATTAAACTTGTTTTTATGCTTTCAATAATTAGACATGCTAAAACGTAATTTGGTTACAATAAAACATAAGGTTTGAAGATTTACCGTAAACCTAGGGGAAACACTGAGCTCTATATAATCAAAGACTATTTAATATACATTTCAGATTTAAATATATAGAACATTTTAAGAGCTAAAGCCTTAATACTTTTTGTTTTTTGTAGCCAATATTTATTTAAACTTTATTTATTTTATGAATTTTTTTTATGCATCTATTGCCGGTAGCACCAGCTGTGCACAAATTACGACTTAGTCTAATTGTGTCAATTAATGAATGAAAATTCATGGAAATACAAAGGTTGTACTTCCTTCGCCGGCTGAGGAAATTCAACCTGCCACAGGAGCTGCTGAAACAGTTCTACTCAGCCGTCATCGAGTCTGTTCTGTGCACTTCAATAACTGTCTGGTTTGGTTCAGCTACAAAATCAGACATCAGAAGACTACAGAGAACGGTTCGGACTGCTGAAAGGATTATTGGTGCCCCCCTGCCTACCCTCCAAGAACGGTATACATCCAGAGTGAGGAAAAGGGCTCAGAAAATCACTCTGGATCCATCACATCCAAGCCATCTCCTTTTTGAACTTTTGCCATCTGGTCGGCGTTACAGAGCACCGAATACCAGGACAGCCAGGCACAAGAACAGTTTCTTCCCCCAGGCAATCTACAACATGAACAGTTAAGCGTTCCCCCCATTGTGCAATAAAAATGTGCAATAACCTTATATTTATCTGTTACCACCTCCATCCTAGTACATCCCTGCATCTCTTTCTGTGTTGTTGTAGTCTCGGAAACTCTTGCATCAAAATCAAAATCCCAGTAGTAAATACGACTTGAGAGGCATTCATGTCTAATTTCCGTTTAGGAAACTCGTATTTATGATAATTCCGATAGCAGCATTATTAGTCACACATTTACATGTCCTTTTGTTTGTTACAAACTAACTAGTAGTTACTTCCCCAGCTGGTGCGACCCCCATCTTAATTGCATTATGCACTTTAAACCAAAAGACAGTGTTTTACAATCGCTGTCCTGGAGTAAATTGTGCAATGTTGAGGTGCTACAGAACCAGAGTGAAGACATTGCTTTCGTTTCATTCTTTCCTATCTGTTGCCTTTTGGTCCTTTTCAGTTTATTACGAAGGATTTCTTATGTTGAAAGTAATTGTTTAAAAAGCTTTTGTCATTTTTTTTTTAACTTGGCAGGGCTCGCAAAATTTCTAAATCCCTGGTAGCCCTTCGGGCAGGCATTCTTCAGATTTTGGTAGCCCAAAAATGAATTTAACTAGCCCGAATAAAATATTTAATTTTTTCTTCAAATAACAAGTCAAGAGAGTAGGGGTGCAATGGATCACAAATCTCACGGTTCGGATTATATTACATTATCATATCACAGATCGGATCATTTTTCAGATGAGCAAAAAAAATATGGTTCTTTATTATTTAAGTGACACTTATTATTTAAAGAACAATTTACTACTTTTATACCACATCAAAAACTAGTAGCATATAGGGATGTAACGATTCACTCAACTCACGATGTGATATGATTCACGATACTGATTTCACAATACAATTTTCTCAATTTCTTTTTTTAACAAAATGAGATTTAAGACAGATAAAAAAAAAAAAAAAGGTGTCTATTTGTTATTTCTCAGACCAAAAGGCTGCACATTACATTGTGAAATTGAAAATGTCAAACAATATACTAACTTGCAATTTTAAAACAAATCCCAAATCAAATAAATAATACAAATAAATGTCTCCATGCAAGTAAACTAAGGTTTTGCCTGTGTATTTTAATCACGATCCAAACTAAGATGCTGCATACATGTTATGTAGATTGTAAAATGTTTAAATTTGAAACAAAAACAAAATGGTCTGACTTTAGCTTTGTGATACTACATAAAAAATCTGAACGAAACAAAAACAGCAGACGGGCTGAAAGAGACGCAAATGTCACTCTCTGACAGCAGGTGGTGCTTAAACAGCAGGTATTTATAGGCTGCTGTCCCTTTAAGACTGAATGCATGGATCCAATATAATGATGCACTTGCTATTTCTTTCTCCACTGTTTACGCTTCAATGTTTAAATTGGTAAGACTTAGAAACACGTGTAAATGATAAACTATGATCCATTTCACCCCTACAAGCGAGTGAACAACGCGAATTAAGGAAGGGATTTTATATCACTATTCAAGATAGCCCGTCGGGCAGGGCAGTGATACATTTTGGTAGCCCAACTGGAAAACACAATAGCCCGGGGACGTCGGGCTAGCGATTTTGGGAGCCCTGCTTAGGTTTTTTTTGACATGAAGGGTTTTGTTCTTAAAATACTGATTCACTATCTTTGTGAATGCAGCAAATGGCAGTTTTGAAATATGCAAGTGTCATTTGTTGTTTCAGTCCATCTTTAGTCATTGCATTTCCATGGCTGTTCCTTGATACAAAATGCACTTTACACTTGCTTCAGAGAATGAAAATGTTGTATGTTTGTATCGTTTTCATTTGCACAATTCTTTTAGACTTTTTTTTCTCCATGAACAATACTACCTACATTGTACAAGCTGCAAATGATGTAGCATGTATGCTTTTCTTTGTTGTCTTTCACTGTTTTAAACATTAATTTCTCATCTAGAACTAAGACTTAAAGATTGTTTGGATACTGTTATAGATGAGACTCAGTCTGGATTTATGAGGGACCGACATATAATGAATAATATTAGATTAGTTTTAGATTTATTGGATTAGAGTGAGTTTTATTCTTTCCCTGGATTTTTATAAAGCATTTGACTCAGTTGAACATACATTTATATTTAAATCAGTGGAAAAATTGGGTTTTGGTGAATATTTTTGTAAGGCAGTAAAAACGCTATATTACAACTGCAGCACAATTCAATTAAAATATGGCACTTCTCCTAGATTTTACTTGTCACGTGGTATTAGGCAAGGGTGTCCATTATCCCCTTATTTATTTTTACTAGTTTCCCAGATATTTGCTTCTTATATTTCTAATCGTGGTCTTCATGGTATCCCTATCGCTGACAAACAGATACTCATCAGTCAACTGGCTGATGATACCACACTTTTTTTGCAAGAGGCTAACCAAGTTCCTTTAGCACTAAAGTATATCCAGCAATTCTCCAAAGCATCAGGTTCGTTCTTGAACCTCTCAAAGTGTGAACTGATGTCCATCAAAGAATGTGATTTGTCAGAAATGTGTAATATTCAAAGATCAGGTATCTTATTTAGGTGTTATTATAACAAAAAATGAATTGGAAAGATGCTCCTTAAATTTGAATCCATTAATTGAGACCGAGTACTGAAAAACTGAATATGTGGCTCCAGCGTGCTCTCTCATTAAAGGGAAGAATCTTACTAGCCAAAGCTGAAGGTTTGTCAAGGTTAACATATGCTGCTCTCTCTTTGAATGTTGACTGCCATTCTTAAAAAAAGTATACAATGCTTCTCAACTTTGTTTGGAAGAATAAAACTAATTTTATTAGAAAAATCTGTATTACGAACACCATTGAGAAAGGGGGTTTAAACTTTCTTGACTTCACTACTTTAAACAACACCTTTAAAATAAATTGGATAAAAAACTATATCAGTAAGCCCTCATCTATATGGAATCTCATCCCTAATATTGTCTTTTCCAAACTAGGTGGTTTAAGTTTCTTGTTAATCTGTAACTATAACATCATGAAAATCCCTATCAAATTATCTCTTCTTCATAGGCAAATGTTATTAGCTTGGTCCCTCATTTTTAAACACAATTTTACACCTCACTATCTAATCTGGAATAATAAGAATCTACTGTATAAACACAAATCTCTCTCTTTTTTAAAAATTGGTTTAAAAATTGTATTATTTTAGTCTCAACTTCAAATCAAAATGGTTCGATCTGTAATTACTCTGAGTTTTTAGTTAAGCATGGAATTCCTGTTAGTCCGAAAGAGTTTGCAGTTGTTGCTGATGCAGTGCCACATAAAGTTATCATGCTTTTTAGAGGTCTTTCTTTTTTTCAATCTCCTGTCACTCAGTGGATCTTTGTAAAACATTTGTAGGAAAACAGTGCCTTTCGTCATCTAAATAAAAAAACAATAAGAAAATCAGAGTTTTGTTTCAGCTGGAGTCTATTTCTGTGCCTTATGTAATCTCTTATTGCAATGGTTTTGTAACTGATATTAGCTGAAATAAAGTTTGGTCATTACCTCACGCATTTTTAATTACTAACAAAATGAGAAATTAATGAAATTTAAAGGGGTCATATGATGCTGCTAAAAAGAACATTATTTTGTGTATTTGGTGTAATGAAATGTGTTTATGCGGTTTAAGGTTCAAAAAACGCATTATTTTCCACATACTGTACATTATTGTTTCTCCTCTATGCCCCGCCTTTCTGAAACGCGTCGATTTTTACAAAGCTCATCGTTCTGAGCAGAGGCCGGGGGCTAGCGTGAGGAACGGCGGGAGGGTTAGAGTGAGCAGAGGCGGCGGGCTTGAGAATGGCCGCGGGCTTGATTGAGCGGCGGCCGGTGGATTCGACGAAGGAGCGTCCGGCGAGCTTGCAGCAACCACATGTGACGACCCCGGGCTGGACTCCGCTTCGTCCACGGTGAAAGCTGATCTGGTGATCTACAGCACTAAGTTATAGCATTTCCTCAGCGACCAGCACGGATCAGCTCCAGGCATGACGAAGCAGATATCGTCCTCTTTTGGAAGACCAAACAAAGT